GATCACTTTCTTACAACAAAACCACCTCTCCCCTCTTCTCCACTTAACCACTGATTTGAGAAAAGCGCAGGTGTGCGCCGTGTAACCAGATATCCCACTGAATGTTCGTGGGCAACTTTGAAGTTTGAACTTTGAGTTGGTCCAAAGCGATGATATCCCAACGTCAGCTATATGAGCAACCTTCATATTGGCTGACTTGCCTAGATTGGCCTTTTCAAATGATTTCACAAAAAAAAGTGGTCCAATTGATGATTCGTTCACATTAAACTACGATAAAAAAAAGAAGGCCTGGAACAGATATCTTCATGAAGGGGAAGCAGAAGCCGGTAGAGAACGCAATCGAACGAGTGGAAAGGCATGGAAAAGGAGGAATTAAAATGATAGATGGAACCAAACTGAAAAAAAAACTGGCTAATGGCCTTGTCATAATAAAAAGGGAACAGAAATGGAAGCAGCATATCCCTGGATTGGTTCCATTCCGACAAAGCTCCCCCTCTCACTCTGGCGATGGTCTGAAACTGGAACTTTCATCTGGGCTCTGAAATAGCCACTTGGACATCATATGGGCGCCCAAGCTCATCTTCAAATTCAAGAGATAACGATAGACATGCAACACCACGAATCTGTGTGAGAGAGAAATAAACGCCCACCCCTGAAGAAATCGGTCGCTCTGATAGTTCCCGCTTCACCCACGACGGTGGTTCAGTGAAGTTCTGTCAGTAAAAATGGTCCCATTTCAAGTTTTCAAAAGCGGAAAAAGCAAGTCATAGGGGACTTCCCAATGGGGAAATTCTGTATCAGTTTCTATTCGTGGTCTATTCAATTTCCAGCAACAATCAGCACCAAGAGGTTTTCTATCAAAGAGAATATGACTAAGAAAAGATGACCAAGCAGAAAACGGCAGGAATCGCCCAGATGGAGAATATCAGTGAAATGAATGACGAAGCAGGGAGCCTCCATGAAAGACCTTCGAAGCAGCAATGCAGACAGGCCATTTCAACTGATAAAAAGGACTTACATTGACGAATAGCTGGCGATGGGTTTGAATCTCCTCTGCATAAAGCTGGCTGGTAACGTTTCTAGCGCTTTCTAGAAACGGACTCGTCCCAAACAAATCGATGCTTGTGGTGAATCGGAACCCCCTCGCTCGGACTTATGATAATTTATCGCCGATCAAAGATCTATCGAGTGCAATGAAACCTCCCACGACGGGCAACAATGGGAGCCAGCATAGCCATATGACATGGCTTTTCTCATTCAGGAGCCAGCTCCTATTAAGTTTCTGGGACTTGCAAATGACAAAAAATTCAAGAAGATTTGCACGGGAGCGAGAAAANCCATGGGGCGTTCGATCAATACGCTGTTGACTCGTCTATCACCATAAACAGCACGACAGAGCAGACTGACACCGACTCGTTGCTGCCACCAAAGATGGAAGATGGGAAGAACGCCCCGAGATAGAGGAAATCTCCTGAGCGATGAGTGACAGGAAAGATGATTTTCCAGAAGATGAATAAGTAGATAACCATGAACGCAAGTGTGGGAACAGCTGAGTTATTCGGCCATTACGGTACGGAATGGGCCCCAGACAATGCCAATTAGCGCGGGTCAAAGTAGTTACGCATGTTGTCCAAACAAACACAGAAGAGTGCGGTCCCACGTAGGGATTCCCGTCTGGGACCTCACCAATGAAGTAAACACGTCTTGGTTTTAGGGCTGAGGAGGTTTCCCAACCAAAGAAGACTAGATACGGGACATGAACGAGCTTATTGAACGAGCACGACGAGGCAACGTGCAGAGCAATAACACGGCCGCCCCCCTCACGCCCATACGTAGGATGCGTATCGACCGAGAGGGCGTGTCGGGGGAGATTGGCACCCGATCCAAGAACACCCACATTGACGTCAACGTCATGGGGCTTAGTACAAAAAGCCGGCCATCACAAGCTGTAAGCGGAACTCGTGACTACGAACGCAATTAAGGCTCGTACTTTACGGGAAAAGCATGTCCACAGGGATCGAAGTTTTTCAGGGTGCGCTACAGATGTGGGCGAGCGATAGACAGTCATGTGATGGGACATGGTCCAGTGCCACCCACAAGTGCCTGTATTTGCTCGTTGACGGTAGTACCTCAACAGAGATGAATTGCCATCAGGATGAACTTCCAGAATAGTCACAAAACGTCTTCGCCTCAGTGACGTTTTGAAATCTCAGTTACCAATAACTTTGAGATACCCTTCTTAAGTCGTAAAGAGGAAACTTCGGTTGGGAATAGTGCATCCACTGATGTTGAAGGAAGCGAGAAAACCCGCTGAAATTGCGAAAAATAAGGCTCCTCAAAAGTAGTGTAAATAGAGGCTGTACGAGATACCATGACGGCAATGACAGTGGAAGGAGTATTCGGACGAGATTTCAATTGCCGCAATTATGCAAATAGCTGACTACATCAAGCCAAAACTCTCCAGGACTGCCATTACTGTCGCTATGGGTCATGGCAAGTTGTTTGAACTTCCTACAGGGGTTCCCTTGGGAATGGTGCAGCCTCTATAAGAGCGGTGAAAGTCGTCCGCGCATACACACGAGACAATCTGCCTTTATAACACCCTATTTAAGCCGTTTCACGACCTAATAGTGCTACATATGGTGTACAGGGGGCCACAGATTCTCCTGAGTGAGGGACGCCTCATTGTAAGTGGCATCTCTAAATCTGGCCTGACTTCTCGTCTAGAAGTCACCAGAATCCTTCCCACGCAGGCGGGGGTCTGGAACTCCCACCTGGGCTCCAGACTCCCGCCTGGGCTTCGAAATATGTAGCGATTTTCGCATCATTTGGACCCCCATGCTCGCCTTCAATTTCACGGGATACGATAGACACGCAACAGCAGAAAACTGTTTGGGAGGGAAAAGTGTGCCCATCCCTAAGGAAGTCAAAAACCCTGAATAGTTCTTTTAATTTATCTGAATGGGAAACAGCTTAAATGGATCAGTACTTTGCACGCCGGGAAAAGGCTCTTACTCCCACGGTTAAAGTCGAATAAATAGCTGATATGAAAGGGATTAATCAGCGCCAATTATTTCCCCTTTCGAAGGATTGCCCTTTTGCTTATGAGAATGAGCACGCGGATTACGCATTCGATAGGAAATGTCCGATCGCCGTTACGTATGACGTCAAGGCACTTCATATCCCTTTTCCGGACATTTATCACATCACAATTGAAATGACGAATTCATCCGCCCGTTTTCAGGAGAAAAACGAAATCTTTCTATTCGCTCCTGCCATGCGCCTGCTTTTTGAAAGAGAGAATGATGTAGGGATGAGGAGAGCACCTCTGGGAGATCTCAATGTGGAAATACAAGTGGGATTGGCGTAAAAACTCAAAATCAGGGCCTCTCATCGTCCGTCAGACGAACATAGCTCGGCATTTGTGACTTCTCGATGTCTTCTGCGATCTAGGAAGCTTAAACGTCTGCCCGGACCTGTCCTTAGTATGAGGCCAGAATCTCTTGCCATAGACCCTTCCTGACTGCTGCCTAACTACCGTGAGATGCCCGAGAGGTCCCTGATTAAAGATAGCCTCCTCTGGTGATCTAATTTCGGCTGCGAATGCTTCGAGGTGGGTAACTGGGGGCACAGGCTTTACTCGTCGTTGCCCTTGGAGAACTACTACATAGCAGTAGCCCCTCATGACACATATAAGGGCTACCCCTTCACTCGTGTCGCATATACGACGTCTCCACCCTACCCGTCACGACGCATCGAAAGGCGCCTTGGACAGGGACACGGGATTGGGTGGTGGAGCAAATGGAGCTACTGCAGACTGCTACCGTGAGTAGAAATAAATAACCCCTTTCAGTGCTACCGTAGTACTTGACTTCAAAGTGAGAAACCTTCCAATGGGTGACGAGGAGTCTTGGAGAAAGGGATAGGGCTTAATGACTTCGAATCACGCTCACATCTGTTAGGACAGCAATTTTGACTAAAGAAGCTTCTAATAAAAAGACTACATCTCTCAAGGCAGTGGCCAATCGAGCCAAACCAACAATCACACAGAATAACACTTTTCATGAATTAATTAAAAGAAAAAAGTGAACTCAAAGGGAAAAAGGATGGATTGAGAGGAGAGAAAGAAGAGAGGAGCGGGAATCAGAGCAGGGGCATCTAACTATTACTGAGATCGCCCTACGTGCACCTACCNGACTACATCTCTCAAGGCAGTGGCCAATCGAGCCAAACCAACAATCACACAGAATAACACTTTTCATGAATTAATTAAAAGAAAAAAATGAACTCAAAAGGAAAGGGATGGATTGAGAGGAGAGAAAGAAGAGAGGAGCGGGAATCAGAGCAGGGGCATCTAACTATTACTGAGATCGCCCTACGTGCACCTACCCGAAATGCTAGCCCACAAGTGCACCACCATCGTCCCTTGCCCAAGGTCCCTTTTCGATGCGTCGTATATTTGCCGGCTGGGGATTCGCTCATACGAATACTTTCATGTCGTGAAAGGAAACCTTTAGAAATTTCACCTTTTCAGGCTCAAGCGAAAAATTTTATCCCCCCAGGTCAGAATCGTTTCTCAGCACATTTACGGGGCCTGCAAGCCAGCCCCACATCCTTGACCCTTCGAGTCGGTGGATTGGATGGAGTGTATCGTGAATTGGCCCCTCCAACTTCGTTTAACCTCTTTAAGGTTAAGTACTTATGGTTGTAAAGTCGTGGAATCGCAAAGTATGGAATTCGCTCTGAACACAGATCAGGATCTGGATTTCCCGTATTCCTACGATTCGCAAAATTGTCCCCAAAGCCGAATTCCACGATTTCCCAACTATGAATGGCCCTTAAATAACTATTCGAGGTTGTTTATCTGGGTACTAGCGGTAACGTAAACAAACTTTCCAGTAGACGTGTCAGCTGTTCCATGTAAAAACAACAGTCGCAATTACACAAGACGCGTTTACACTCACGCCTAAATTAAAATCCGGTGGAATTTCAATTTGAAGTTGCGTCTGTTTCGTTCCATCATGTCTGACGTAATATTCGATGACATGTTTATGGTCAAAAACATTGACCCTGATGGCAAGAAATTCGACAGGTGCTCCAGGCTGTTCTGTGATTCGGAATCCTTCAGGTTAGTAGCATCTTAATCGTGTTTCTATGACCGCAATTGGAAATGTGTATTTAAGAACGTTGTTCTAGAGTCATTTTCATTTTTGTTCTTCTCCTTCCATTTTTTATACATGTAAATTTAGCATGGAACTTATATTAGACGTGAACACTCAAATTTACCCGATAAATCTGAACGACAAGTTTCGCTTGATGATCACTACTTCAGTCCGCGATGATGGCATGCCAGATGAAGGAGAATTCGATCCACAGGTTCGCCTCTTTTCATTTGTGACTACTATGCTGAATTAGTTTTTGGTTTCTTTTAATTCTTCCCACACTGAATTTCATTGGAATTATGTCGAAGGAAAACAATTGAAACACGATCAAAGAGTAATCTGCAACATCCAACAGTGTGGCATCCCGAAGGATCACATACCGTCGGAAATTTATAGTCAAGTTCCTTTACTTTGTACGAACGCAGTTTCGGCAATAAGGAGTGGGAAAGGAGCGATAACAAACTTGTTTAGTGCATAGTTATCAGGCAATTCCGAAACTAAGGCACTTAACGGCTTTCTAGTCATTACTTTGTTTATCTAGTCCAGTGTACTGGGAATTGGCGTATAAGCTACTGCATTCATTTGTTGTTAATTATCCAGCAATTCAAGCATTTTCTTCTGAGTGATAAGGGCAATTGACTAAAAAGTTGCTCTGGTGTTCTTGAACTGTGGGGATTATGCTGACCTTCAACATTTTTCCTGTATCTTGCCGAGGAATGGCTGCATTCAGAATCGATGGCGATCGTCATTGACCATCAGCTACGAGGACTGGTCCACTCGACCAATGATGATCGGTAGCGGGGTTTGGCTGTAATCGTAGTCAGCGATGTTAGAGACCCTGAGGACAGCCTTACGTAAATGTTCAACGTCCTCTGATAATAGAAATCTGTGTAAAGACTAGATGTTGGGTTTCCAAAAAGGAAAGTGTAATACCTGACTAGAGGAAGAAGGCAGGGTATAGCTATCCTGGTGTTCTTTCAAAGATCTGCCATCATTTTTGATCTTGATTGATGAGCCACACCACTTTGAAAGTGAAGGCAGTGGAAATGATCAGTTATCATTTCGATATGCAGTAGGATGTAACTTTCCAGGTTGAGAATAAACTGCTATTACGAAGGCAGTGGAAATGATCAGTTATCATTTCGATATACAGTAGGATGTAACTTTCCAGGTTGAGAATAAACTGCTATTACTGATTTTAATTTAGTGAGCACTGACTTATTTTGTAAGAGTTTGAGCCGGTTTATTTTGCCTTTTTGCCTCTTTTTGAGTACCTGCGAGGGTCTTTCAAAAGTTTTCGCTTGGTTCAAATGTCCACTCAGATCACTATTGCGCATTCCCTGTCCTGCGGCAGTCCTCGTGCCTGTTTCACATCTGAGAAATCATTCCTGTAACCACTGTGGCTCAATAGTCACCGTGTAATCGCAAGTCATGTCCGATGCACCTAGTTCCCCGTTCCTTGATGTATATTTGTTTATTGATTTATTTATTCAAAATACACACAAGGTGCGCTTCAGTAGAATCAAGAAAGCGGAACCAGTTACAAATTTAAACAGCAGAAAAAGTCATAAAAACTCACAGTAAGAAAAACCATACCCATAGACGCATATTCTTTAAGCTATATACGTCTAGAAATTTTCTATGCCTATTAAAGCAAGAAGGTCTATCTTCCTCAATCTCTTTTTGAACGCATCGGTATTTGACAGTACCTCTATTCTTCCTCTTTGTTGAAGCTCGGAGCTCAAAAAAATAAATGTCCGAAAATGTATCGAGAACGCGTGGAAACAAAATTTGCGAGTAAGTAAGTAAGTAAGTAAGGGAGAATCGAATCCGCTGTTTGAAGTACTAGAATCGAAGAAGAGTCACGTCGACGAACACACTTTGCTTTTGTTTTTACTAATCCCTCGACGTTTTTGAAAGCTTCCCATGCTTCTCCTTTTTTTCTCCCAACTCTAGAGCGGAGTCATTCATCATCTAGAATTGCCTAGCCAAAAACGCATAGTGGGACAATTCAGAGATGTTTGTTCCGTTTAGTGTAAGAAGAACGTGAGGGATACGTGCTTTTTCCAGGGATGTTAGTTTTGTAGGTTCAATGGAAACCAATATTTTCACAGGTGCTGTGAACTTCTTTCTGTCTACTGGTATTCGATTTTACAGGTCGCCGCAAAAGAAATTCTGTTAATCAGTGAGCCATAGGCTTTTCCGCCAGTATTTTTCCTCTCTTTCTGGGGAGCTATTTCCAATCTGTCCAAACTGCAATAAATAAAAGACGGCTCTTCTCCCACGGCGACTCTAGACGATTTAATATCATCACCGATGAAGTTGCTATCGCAAATACCTCATTTACTTCAATTTGAGCCCCATTAGGGTCAGATTTTGAATGGTTCACGTATTACATTCTTTCTCGGGGCGTTGGAAAGTTCTTTGTAAAATTTTTGGCCCATTATTCAACACTCAAGTGCCTGCGCCAAAAGGACGTATTCCCAACTAGGGTGATCTGAATAATTGTGGAAAGAGTTACGCTAGAAGTCCGCTAATCACTAGGGATGTATTAGCGCAGTAGTGCTGTGCGTGTTAGTTTCACTTTCTTCATTACAGGCCAATTATTCACGTGTCGCCCAGTTCGAGTATGTGATGTTTGGGCGAGTTTATCGAATTGAAGGCGACGACACAGGATCAGATGGAAGCAGAATCGCAGCATACGCTTCTTTCGGTGGCCTCCTCATGAGGCTGAAAGGAGAGGTTTGTGTTTTGCCCAGACTATCATCAACAAAAGTCTTCGTTTAATTTGCATCCCTCACACTCTTTCAGGCATTCAATCTTCACGGATTCGAGTTGGATTCCAACATCTATCTTCTGATCAAGAAAGTTGAATTCTAAACTACAAATTAGCTTAGTTGTTATAAAAAACCCACTTGAATTTGTGGAATGTACAAAAATGTTGTTTTCGGTTGATATTTGAGTTGTTTCACGAGTACCATGAAATTGCTTCCGTTGTCATTTTCTTATTTACAATTGTGTTTTCTTTGGAACCGTTAAAGCGAATAAAGTACGTACTAATCCTTTCCGTCAGTCTCTTCGGTAGTTCCGTTGCTATCGCTGGTTCCAATTTTTTAGTTGGTTTTCAATAATTTGTGAGAACACGCTTTCTCTTCTGTGTATTACTTGCTCGCTTTTCTTAACAACCTTTCATTGCAAGCAAAACGGCTCTGCTACAGATACTATGACTTCTCCTTGCACAGGGATATCCGCCACGAAAGAAATCCAGTCGTATTATGATTTTTGCAGCTCCAGTGTAAGTGCCTGTTTGAAAAAGTGTTATTACACTGCTTTCTGCTTTTCGAAATCAAAAACCCCTNNNNTCTAGCATATCTTCAACGCTTAAATGATCTCGCATGAATAAAATTTAATGCATGCGTCTGTGCATCAAATTTATTTCGGAGAGCTTGATGTCTTCCTATTTTTGAGGCCACACCCACACGGCTTTATTCAACCTTGGTTCTAAAATTTCCCGTCCCTGCTTGAGATAGTCAGGCAGAAACACTCACCGTTACATTTGTCCACTGTGCTCAGAGGGTGTGCACAGAGAGTTATGAAGAAAAAAGGAAATATAAATAAGTGTTAGGTTACAGCTGGGTGGATGATGGATGCTAAGGTGTCAAGATGGACTTTATCCATAACATTCGAATCGCTCGGGTTATGCTGGGTGTGTGTCAAGTCGTGCATCCGAGGTGCGCGCGGCAAATTGCGCGGCGAAGTTGGACGACTCCGGCGCCTATCCTTGGGGCCCAAATCTGAAGTAGTGTAGATTAGTAAGATCAGCTGATCCTACTGTTCTACTGTACTTCAGAATTGGGCCCAAATAATAGGCGCTAAAGTCGTCAGAATAGGTATGAATGTCGCCGCGCATTTTTCCGCGCTCGCCCTCGGACGCACGACTTGACCGTCCTCCGGTTATGCTGAAGTCTCCTCTTCTTGTCAACTTTGGCCTATTATCAGCATTCCCCGCAAAATTGGACGCTCTGGTTCGGGAGAACAGGAATTATGAACTTTTGCTTAATTACACACACCCTAACACACTTTGTGAGACCCTCCCGCCAGTCATAAGAGGAGTCTTGCTCGAGTTATGTGAACTTGAGTAACGTGGTTCGTTCGTGATTTATTCCAACTTGGCTGCGTAATTTTAATCGGCGTTCCTATCTTTTTCCAAACTCAAACGCTCTTTTCCCAAGGGGATGATTTTGCGCACGTTCCGCCCCTTTAAGCGGAGTTCAGTTTTGCCGCCGATCATCAGTGTGCCCATCCTACCGAATTTGAATGCTGTTGGTCCAAGGGTCCAGGGATACACATCTACACATACATACACACCAACAAACTCACTTTGCGCGTTATGTAGTAGGCTCAAGGTTCATCTAACCGGCTGGCCTCATATTGTTTAGACCTGATATATGGTTGAGTGTGAACGTTATAAACATGGTGTGCCCTTCATATATAATGCCGTGCAATTCACAAACTTCATTGGGGAACTTTTCTATGGTGACCTTTTCTGCATACTTTAGAACTAAACCTTACCTGACCGTTATCTGCATCGCTTAATTGAGTGAATAAAAGTTATCATTGTCCTTCTGTTGTCTCGCTAATTTAAAGTACCAAATAAGGCGGAATGCTTTGGAATGTTGAACGACAGCTCTTCTGGGATACTACTCGGGAGTATCAATGAATTATGACGACAACTTTCAGCTGATTTCATTAAACTTGCTTGCTTGGTATACACTCATTTTCAGGCGGCCGAAGTATCACGACTTCAACGCATAACGGATGCTATGCAGAGAGGGGAGATGACCAACGAAGTTCTCGAAGCGTGTCCTGAACTCGCTGCTGCATACAAACAGCAAGAGAAATTGAAATACAGAAAGACAACCCTCGAAAGAGTACGTTATTTCTACCAACTTTTCTACGAATATTTGTGAACTATGGTGAACACTACTGCTTTCTTCAGAGCCTTGCTGAGCAACTTGCTCTCAATAAATTAAAAGGATGTTCTTCATCTCAATGTGCTGGAGAGCAGGGTTGTGCCAACAATGGAGTCTCAGCCGCTAAAAAGATGAAAAGTGCGAACAGGTTGGCAATATTCGTTGTTGACGGGCTTGGTTATTGTAGCGTGTCATTCTAATGCTTGCTTAATTTTCCTTTTGAATTTTCTTCACAGCGAAAATGTATTGTTTGCAACAGTGCCCCGCCTAAGTCGAAGAAGCAAAATTACGTCATTGTGAAGGACTATGGTTCCAGCATCATAAGTAGGCTCTCAGATCTGTTCAAAGATGCTATCAGAGAGGTGCTGCTCTGCCTTTTGCTTTCCCTATTACACTTAGGAAGGATCTTTCACTAACTAACAAACAACACAATTTAGGCCTTCCCATCCATTGACAGCGTCTCCGTTGCTTTAACAGAAACCACAAATCCGAAATTCGGTGACTATCAGTGCAATTCAGCAATGGCAATATCAGCGGTTTGTACAACAAAGGGAACTCAGTAGGATTTCATTTTTCTGTGCTTTTCTTTATAGAAATTGAAAGCAAACGGCACCGTAATGCGTCCATCTGAAGTTGCTGCTCAAATTAATTCAAAGGTTCCGCCATGTGAATTGATAGAAAAGGTGAGGTTTTATCTTTTTTCTAGCATCTTTCATTAATCTCTCTTTTTATAGCCACTCCTTTCAGATTGAGGTCGTACCTGCAGGCTTCATCAATGTGTTTCTCAATAAAGCATTCATAGAAGCTCAAATAGGAAAGATTGCGTCCAAGGTAAATTTTTCGTTTACCAGTAAATGTTAAGATTACACAGTTCTGATGCTTTCATGCTGAACAAATTTGTTTATACGTATCGATACAAGTTCTTTTGTTGTTATCGTACTGTTGGTTTGAACCCTTGGCTTCATATCAAATGTCCTAGTTAACTGGCAAGCCTTTTCAGTGTTATTTACAGCATTCGTAACCTCGGATCTGGCAACTTCTTATCTTCTGTATCAGCAAAAGTGTTCGGTATGAACACAACGAAAATGGGTGCATCTTAATGAGAAGAGCGGCAGGGGAGGATTTACCCTTTTAAGTTCTACCATTACCTTTGGACTATCGGTATGACAGAGGACTTCCCTAACCAATGTGCACGAACTGAGGCGATTGCAAAATAGCAACAGTACATTTGTGGAGCGAATCGAGTGCTGTACTAATGAGAATGTCACCGAGAGAATAGATATATCAAGATATATCAAGGTTATTATAGATATATCAAGGTTAAGCGGGATGATTACAGTTGTTAGACTAGGATGTAGATTCAGTTCTGAAGGAACGGTCGAGAGGGGATGCGGGTTTTGCCAGTGAGTTGCTGATCATGAAGACCGCGTCGGGCGGAACACGAGCCTACGTGTATTCTTTCCTGCCCCATGCCTATTGTGAACACTACCGAGGTCCCTTTCATCTTCTTGCTGATCATTTACGGTGGCATATCAACAATTCACTCATAAGGTAATGAGCTGAAATGGTTACCGCTACGTTACCGTTATTGGCAACCTTCATCTTGGACAATACTGCTGATATACTGATACATACTTACCCATTTGAATTGAATTTCTGGTTCGTTGTTTTTAAAGAATTTGAATTTGAAGCGGCTACATTCAGTATACCACTAACAGTAAGTGAAAGAACTAGCCAAAACTGCAGCGAAAATCTTTAGCTAACAGAATAGCACAATCTAGGAATACTTCAAACAATTTTTGTGAGGACTGATGCTCCAGCATATAGAAAGCATCAATTATTCAATATTGTCAAAGCATTCAGCTTAACAGTTCACTGTCGATATCCGTGGTTGAAGGGATCGTGCTGTTATACATGAGCGCTGATAAGCTAAAACGAACATCCTTTTAGGGGAACGGATATAGGGTGGGAGGATACAAGGTGACATTGGTGTAGGGAATAAGAATCGTAGACCATGATTAAAATTTCTTTCGACACCGCGTTCCTCATAGCGCTTCGTGATTCTGATGATATTGGCATCGCGAAATGACCAATGAAATTATCAGTTGTACGTGATAGCTTTCAATATTGTGGCGAGACTCAAGGAAAGGGTTAGCCCCAAAAAACTGTGCGTACCCAAGTTTTCTATTTCTAAACTACCCTCTTGAAACTAAAATGTCTTTGTAATAATGGGGACATTGCCCTATTCCCTTATGCTCTCTCTCCGATTTCCTAGGGTGTTCAACTTCCACAAATAGAAGCAAAACGGGTCATTGTTGACTTCTCGTCGCCAAATATCGCCAAAGAAATGCACGTGGGTCATCTCCGCTCGACCATCATTGGAGATTCCATTTGTCGCCTCTTGGAACGTGTTGGTTTTGATGTGAGTCCCATTTGTTCCACTTTTACTGAAATTGCATGACAGTGCCTATCTTTGAAGGATCATTGTCTAGGTTCTCCGAATTAATCACATTGGTGACTGGGGAACGCAGTTTGGGATGCTGATTGCTCATCTTTATGATAAATATCCCAATTTTATGAATCAGCCGCCTCCTATTAGCGATTTGCAAGCTTTTTACAAGGTGGGTTTACAGCAGTTTTTAATTTTTCCATGGTTAGTTTTTGGTTTTTAGTATTTCTTATAATAACTTGTTAAAGGATTCCAAAAAACGTTTCGACGAGGATCCTGAATTCAAGAAACGTGCATATGATTGCGTTGTAAAGCTGCAAAGTTACGATCCTGAAATCGTGAATGCTTGGACCATGATTTGCAATATATCCAAGAAATGTAAGAATAGCACATTTCGATGGGGCGTGTCGTACTTCACTGCATATTTTTGCAGACAACCAAATTGTTTACGATCGCCTTGACATTGTGATAGAAGATGTAGGAGAGTCTTTCTATCAAAAAATGATGATTTCATTAGTGGAAGACTTGAAGAGGATACGTGAGTTTCTGGTAATCAGTTCACTATGTTGGTGAGATATTATTCTTCCTTCACAGAGTCGGACCACTGCCGAGAAGAGGAAGGACGTCTTCTTTATTTCCCAGAAAAATGCGAAGTTCCGTTGACCATTGTGAAAAGCGATGGAGGTTTGAGATTCTCATTTCTCTTTGTGCCGCTGTGATGTTGGTCTATACCTTACTTTTGAAAGATCCATCAATCGGTCTTTTACCATCTTAACTCGAAGTAACTGAACGTTTCAAACTTTTTTGGTACATAACAAAAAGACTAGTTTGGTTATGTCTTTGCAATTTGCAAATAGTTTTCCTAGCCCCAGGATTAGTACAATATTATGTCCATTCCGCGATCCAGAAAATCATCCATTGATTCCGTTATTCAAGGTTATACTTACGACACTTCCGATTTGGCCGCTCTAAGGTATCGGCTACATGAGAAGAAGGCAGATTGGGTTGTCTATGTTGTCGACGCTGGACAGAGCTTACATCTAGAGGTTGTTGCTTATCATTATTGAATTTGAAATATTTTTCTCCTTATCAGGATACTCCTTTAGACTGTTTTTGCCGCCGCTCGTGAACTCGGGTGGTATGACGATTCGCGACAGCGTGTTGAGCATGTAGCCTTTGGACTTGTTCTAGGAGAAGATAGGTTTGTACACTTCTTGAATATTTCTCAACTTATTAGTCACTTAAGTCCCCTATGTAATTGCTACGGAATATGATGTCGAAGAATGCACATTTTCTTACTTATTTTCATTCAACACTATTCAGCTACAACGCGATGTTCTTATATGCCTTTTTCCAGGAAGAAATTCAAAACCAGATCTGGAGAAACTGTTCGACTTCTCGATCTTCTTGATGAAGGAGTTAAGCGAGCATCTTCTAAACTGGAGGAGAAAGGAAGGGCAGATGTAGGTTGTCAGTAGTTCTTCTTATCGCATAATAACTAGTTCTCGAGCTGTCAAAGTTCTCATCAGTTTCAAAACGATCTTTGAGTGGTTTTTTGTCTTTGGAGTGGTATACACTAAGATTCAATTCACGAGAGTTTACAAATCATCAGGAATATATCCTATATCAAAGGGCATTACTTTAGATCAGTATTACCATCACTTGTACGATTGCCTTTGTTTCGTTTGAAATAGTTGAAAGTCGATATTTAGGTCATGAATGAGGCTGAGCTAGCAGCTGCTCGTGATGCTGTGGCTTACGGTTGTATTAAGTATGCGGATTTATCCCATACTCGCACTCAGGACTATGTGTTTTCGTTTGATCGAATGCTGGATGATAAAGGAAATACCGCTGTTTATTTGCTCTACGCATACGCCAGAATAAGGTGAGCTTCCATTGATATCCATGCTGTAAAAAATCGTTTTGACGCTGCGATTGTTCAGTGTTGGCAACCATCATGTTTTTTTAAAAATGTTTGTGTTTCTATAAATAGATGATGTCAGTTTTGAATTATTTCAGATCTATTGTTCGAACTTCTGGCGTAGCTCCTGAGGCTATTAATGAGTTCATCGCAAGCAACCCGACTATCCCAGTTACGCATCCTGCAGAATTGACGCTATCGAAGCAGATCCTCAAGCTGTCTGATTGCATCCTTCAAGTATTAGATTCACTTATGATCCACCAGGTGCGATTAATGAAATTTTAAAGAATATAAGAGAATATTTATGCCCATTCTTCAAAATTTGAGTCTCCATGGTAAAACGTTTTTCAGCTGTGCGATTACCTTTACCATTGCAGTATTTAGCTTCGCATCACGGATTGCTTTACCAAGTTGTGCAGTGCTCCCTGTAGGCGTTGTGGCCGCCAATTAAATTTATGGACTATAATATCGATTGCCTGCTGCTACTTCTTATAGTCTTTTGACTGCACCTCATCCTGCGATCGAGCGTCCATATTAACATAAGTTTCGATGGCATCAAAATTGCAGCCGATTTCGGCGATTTTTGTCTAATTATTCTGCTTTATTGGGACCTAGTCTCGAAAAGCGACATCATTTCATCCATTTAAAGTGGGCATTGTATTTGTTGCATTGCCAACTACAAACTGTTTTCATTAGTTTGACATGGCAGTGGATTCTGTCTTGCTCAGTAGTTTTTTTTTTGTTTCACTTAGAGTGTTCTTCACTTCTGCTTTTTCCCCTGTTGTGGATACCAACCTTCTGAATCGTACGCAGATATCGTTTCCAGGTCATGAGGCTAAGTTCTGCACAAAAAAAACTAATTCAGTTGAGATCTAGCGTCTTGCGTGGCGAGCGACCCTGATATAATCCATTGCCACCTCGGGTATCGACTATCTGAGTATTCCTATCTCTTATCTATTGTTTCAGTGCTTTTTATCGCTTATCAGAAGCTCCCAGTTTCATCAATTCAGATAGATGAGCTTCTCTTGATTATTCAATTTCTCACGGAGTTTTGATGACTCTTCCTCATCATTACATTGATCATAGAGGTTCTTTCTGTTAATCATTTCGGATCTTCTTCAGTTCCTTTTCGAGCTATAAAATCGTCCTAATTTGAAATGGATAACGACTATTCCTTGAACTCTACTTGGTCTGCCTCTTTCACTTCTAAATTGGAAGCCTTCCTTACTGACATGTTTTTGCTTCTGGGCTGTAGTGAATTAATTTGCACTCTGTTCTTCACGACATTGTACGAAGATACCTCTTTAAAAACCAATGCGAATTTATTTCTTTTCCCTAATAGTTGCTTTCAGCATCTGGGTCATCCTAAAAATGAGTTTGGGACATCTCTCACTTGTTCCTTGTTCGTGCACTCTACTGTAAACCTTTTTTCTCTCAAAAGCCTGTAAAACCTGTATTATTCCTACCTCTCGAAGACTCGTGAATCCAACACCCTAAACGCTTGCTCAAGGACCATGCTGAACGCACTGTTATGAGCGCTTTCCGATGAAAAAAACTGCCTTCTTTTACCCACCCCGAACCTTTAACCGTTGCGAACCCGCGGCCAGATTGCGGCTCAGTGCTTAATGCCCGTCCACTTTGGTGCACATTCACTACCGTGGGCATCGTTATACCTGATGTAGAAGACACCGTACCTCGTGCTCGAACAGATGTTGTCGAAGCAAATAGTGAACTCGACACTTTCAGCTCCGCCACTTATAGGAACTCTCCGTCTATAATTAGCCTTCGAATCCCTTCACCGCTAACTCAATTCCAAACTTCTTTGGGTCATGTGCAGTAGTCTCACAAATGTGTTGCTTATTCCTTAATTGGCTCGTTCATTATCAATTGACTTGATCTTTGCATTTTACAGTCGCTCATAACTGCTATACTCGTTTCTCCTATAACTGTATCAATTTCCCTTCGCTATACAGGAAATTTTAAATGTAACCCCTCCTCTTCTTTCAAATGATTGGCTTCCCGTATGGCGAGTCCTCAACTTCCACCCATTCCTTCAGCTGCTACCCTGTGTTACCTCCTATCCGTTCAGTTGCTACTTGCCTCTCCCTAGTTCGCTCCAATCCTGAAACCCTCCTAGAGCCGAATAATGCGGAATTCTGATCATCTCACTTACAGTTAGCTCTGTATATCCCGATTGTTGCTAACTTCGAGCATTCACCTTTGATCATTTTCCCTCCTTTCTCTGTGAGTGTACTGAAGATTTGAGACGTGAACAAAGCCCGTTTTAGCGCGCGCCATTCTTTGCAAATAACTATTTGTCCACCTAATTAGTGCTTCGGTCATACTGGTAAATGTATCACTCGTTCTGGAGGAAGAACGATCTGTAGAAGTGAAGTGGGGTGTGTAATGAGAGCGCATTTACTAAAATTAACGAAGAATCCTTGAGTTGATGCTGCTGACTTGTTTGTGGCTTTAAAACATTCGGTGAAATGAGCGCCTATAAATTACAAAATTCAGAGGCCCTCATCTGCATTGTCCTATTCGACTCCAGGAAGCTCCAGTACTGCTCTCTCTGTAACTATATGCAAAATTCTTTTGGTAGGATGCAGAACGTCCCACGCAGTATGGCGTTTTAAGCGTTTTCTGACCGATTCAGCGCCTGCTGTTGGGCGCGTAACAACTGTCGGAAATGTGTCGAATGAGTTCGTGGTGGTTGTGTAAACATATCCAAGATAATTTGTTTATTGGTTTCGGTTTACGATGATGTGACTGAACCATTTTACTCTACGACCTCAGCTCGATTGGCTTCAGCACTGTTCACGTCCTTAGTGTTTCGTGTGGGTGGAGGCAGCTGTTCCAACAACTGAATACTACCAGTCTGAGGGAGAAGCGTGTGGATTACGAAAGACTGTATTGGGCAGGATAGCCCTCATCAGTTGGTCACACACTCCTTCCTTTCCGAGAATATTCGTTGAGAAATGTTTCATTAATGTTTTACTGAAGTAGTCGTGTCAAAGGGCGCTGTTCTATTCCGTGGAGATCCGCCTGTCCCATTGACACCCAACATCCTGATTAATTTTTGGTAAATTGTCTTGAAACTTGAGTTATCAGTGGTAAATTATCTCAGTTAATCGTTTATGAATTCAGACATCCACTCGTTCTCGGAATATTTAAATTTACCTTCTTTTTGGTAATGATAGTGGTACGTGTGAGATTCCATGTCGATATGAAGGGATTTAAGGTTCGCTGTTAACTTATCAGGTAGTGCACTTTGAATGTCATGGAAACTTACGTCTTCACCCTGTACTTCGCAGAGTTTTCACCTTTCCCGTCTAATCTGCACGCTTATCAAAAGTAACAACAAGCGATTGTTTTCCAATCTCAGCAATTTTTGATTTTTTGATTTTGATTTTTTAGTGTTTGTATATGAATCGGTCCTGTACTTTTATACTGCTCGCGAAATTGATGCTCAATCAAAAGCTGCTGTGATTGTGAAAAAGATCGCTTGTTGGCTAGTAATCACAACCCTTTCCTAGAGCCTTGTACTATTTTTAGCACTGCGCTGCAAATTTTTCTCCACTTCCATTATGTCGATTGGTGTTTGGCAAAAAAAAAGCGCTCATTGAAATACAACTGCTACACTGACTGAACTTTGCACGAGCAGATCAGACCGCAGTTGGTTTAAATTCAGACGCAACCCTCCAGTGGCTGTGAATGAAAGAGATTCGTTCTTTTGGAGAATGTCTGCTTTCAGGACACCCTAATTATGGTCGTAAGAACACTCAAAAACTAGTTCCTACCAATTAAGATGGTTATTTCGTCGACGAAGGGTTTTTGCAATAGAGAGGCGATATAGTGCATGTAGAAGCTGTACCTATTAAAAATCCGACGGAGATTGACTTCTCTTTTCTGCCACCTTTATGTCAACCAGAATTATTTTACGCCACAAAGGCGTTTTATATACTGTTTTATCTTTTCTCCACTTTTTTCTGTTGATTAGATTAGAGTACGTTCATCTGTCCTGATAGATTCTGTTTGACCGAGAAAAGTCATCCATAGAAATCCTCTCCAAAATACGTCCCTTCAATCGTTGAAACCTTGGCACAATAGTTTACTTAGTCTTTTGGCACAATAGTCTTTTGCTGTGATATTCCAAGGTATTGAGCGGTTCTAGGTGGAAATGGATCAGCGTTCATCGTAAAGATAGGGAAAACAAGTGTTTATACAAATTATAGCTCATGAAGCTGGCACGAGGTCCGGCAACCGGTGATGTCGCTTAATTAACATAATTTGGGTAGCATAACGGAAACATTTTTAAAATGAAATGCGTGATAATACCGGCGAATAGACGGCAATTTTTGAGCAAAGAAAACTTGGGAGAAGCTGTGGATTTTTCGAAGAAATTTTGGATTGAACAGTTAAGAGGAGTGTCTGTTTATGTATAGCGATTTTCTGAGCCCATACCGGATCGCGTGCTGTGTCTCCTTACCATCCTTTTACCCGTAAATATAAACAGATGTAGGAAAGACATATTAGGAAGTGTAAGGTTTGGTCTAGTTTATTGTTCTGGCATTGCCATTAATACTCCATTCCCCTGAAGTTGTCTGCAAATGAATAAGGAGGTAATTTTGGTAGAATGGCTCTTCAACAAGTCTACTTGCTACGAAGTACTTTCACTTTATCCATCACCCTGTTCATCTACCTTGAGCGGCCTTTCAGTAACAGGTAAAAGAGCGGTAGTACTGGGTACATACTCAATGGTATTGATGGATAGCAAGAATCCTTGCTTGGAAAGTTGCTCCTCTTAACTCCAATTAGCCAGCCGACTGATTTCATCAAACCTGAAGACTATTGGTGTACTATGTCATACTATGTCGTCATTCCATTCCCAGCAAGACCTTCAGCTAGGATTTTTTGCGTAAATATCCCTTTCGGAACCTGAAACCATGGAGATTCAAAGTCATGAATGTCACTCCTGCCGTACGTGTGTCGTCAGTAGTGACGCAGTTTCACATACGGCTTCCGTGATGATGAGAACTGACTCATCTTTCCAAACATTCATCCTGCAGAAGAGGAACTTTTTCAAAATCCGTTAACATTCGTAATTTTTACGCTTGTCCTTTGGCGATAGGCATGTTATAACAATTGATGTGTTCGTGGCGAGAAAAAAAGAACGTCGAGCTCTCATGGTAAAATGAGCCAGAATGGAATGGAAGTAGAAAATGTCATTTGAAATGTCTTCTGTTCGAGTATGTACAGCTACGCAAAGGTTTGTTGCATTCTTTTCAGTTCACATGCACCAGAAATGGAAGAAAGGTCGAATCTACGGTATTGCTAGCTCTGTTTGCGCTTCGTCTTTTCCTTACCTGACCACTAGCTTCGTT